AAATTGACAAAAAAATTCAATTCTTCTTAGGCAGTCGATTTTATTGCAATTTATTGCACAAAATACACCCAAAAGTGTAGAAAAAAATTGACAGACCTATACTAGTAGAGAAAGACCATTATTAGCACTATTAAAGTAGTTTTGTCATAGAAAAATCGACAAAAAAAATCAATTCTTCTTAGGCAGACGATTTCATTGCAATTTCATGCACAAAATACACCCAAAAGTGTAATAAAAAATTGACAGACCGATATGAGTAGAGGAAGACCCTTATTAGCTCGCCCGCGTGGAAATGAAAGTATGGGTAAAATCATAAAAACCATGGGCGAAATCGATTGCCAATTAAAAAACGATTAGACCCATGGTTTAAACTTTGGCAAAAATCTCAAAAACCATTTCTTATGTCCGTTTCCCATGGTACAATTTCCCATAGGAAATTTTTTTTTAATTTTACGGATTTTTAACCATTGCTAAAATCTTGGAAACCATGGGAAAATTAATTTTTTAATTTTACTAATTTTGGACCATTGCTAAAATCTTGGAAACCATAGGGAAACTTTTTTTTTATTTTACGGATTTTGGATGACCGTTTCCATGACAACATCTACCATAGCTATAGTAACCATAGTTATTTCATATTTGTTTCCGTATACTAATACTACAATTTTAATAATTTTCGATTTTTGTTTCTGACTAAAAAATTGGTTAAACCTTTAAAAAGGTTTATTTAATTTTCATATTTGTTTATGTACTTGGCTATTAATTATCCAATAAATATTTATTTTAGAGCTGTGCAAAAGTTTGAATTTTGTATGGGCTCGGATCGAATATTCGATTCGAGCCCATGTTAATTCTTATGGAGCGGTTCGAATTTTAAAAACTTGCACAGCACTAATTTATTTGAATTAAATATAATTATTATTTGAGTAAATTAAATAGTATTTGTATCAAATACAAAAATTATTGTTTCAAATATTGTTTAATACGCACAGAAAATTAAAAGGCATTAAAATAAGCTGCAACGCTTATTATTTTAATCCAATTTTACTTATGTTAATCCATTTTGGTATTAAAATAAACAAAATTGGATTAAAATAATAAGCGTTGCAGTTTATTTTAATGCCTTTTAGTATTCTGTGTATAATTCAATTATTTGGCTTTAAAAATTATTTGGTTCTAGTAAATATTTATTTGACAAAATAAATGTTTCTTTTAATATAGCGAAATTAACATTTATTGACGATTATATTGCTTGATGATTGCTAACTTATCAAAATTTTTAAGAATAATTTTCATAGCTAGTAGACAAGAACGGACACTCTTTGGGATTCGATGTGCGTATATAATAGAAATGGCTGCTTAGGTGTATATATAAAGTATAAGTTAGTTTTTGTTTTGTTACGGTTTTGTACATATAATATATATATATATATATATATAGGATGCGTTCGAAATTATTACATCGCACGAAAGGAAATGAGTTCAGTGCACTTTGTTGAACAACTAAAATGCTTCAAGATTCATTCAGTTGACGAGAGAGTGAGAGCTCTCTGCGAATGACGGGTAATATCAACTCATGTGTGGGCGACTGTCTGTTAAACTGTATAGAAAGGACGATTACGATCGTTCAATCACACTTTGATTGCTTCTGGGATTGCGTACGCGATCGGATATTATACAACTTCTTTGATTTGTCTTTACTTGTATATGTTTACAGGGAAATTGAAATGTCGAAAATTAATGGCTTGATATATATATATATATATATATATATATATATATATATCTAAATTCATTTTCCCAAAATTTAAAATTATTATTAAATCTCAAATTTTAATAAATGAATATTCTATTAGAATTGAAATAAAATTTTAGTTCTAATTTGTTGTTTATATCAGTAATTTATTTTCTTAATAGAATGTCAAAGAGACAACTCCTTTAATCATTTAGAGACGACGACAAATTATACAAGGTTGCGTCCTTGTATAATTAAATTATGCAAGGGGTGTGCCCTTACACACTTTACTTATTCATGAATAACGCAGCTTTATAATGTACGAGAGCCGAGGTTAATATTAGCAGTGAAACAAATCTCTGCTTCTTCTTCTTCTTCATCTTCTTTTTCTTCTTGGGGCGAAAAGAGAAAATACTGACCCAATGCGGAAGAAAAAGCGGCAAGGTCTTTAAATGAGGTTGTAAATTTATAAATATAGCCTTATGGGAAATTAAACCACCACTTGGGAAAAAATAAAAAGATGCCGATAAATTTTCACTCGGCTGCTTTTTAATATTCAATATTTTCTAAACTCTCAGTGTGTATGTGTGTGTGTTATAAGTTTTCTTGCTAAATGAAGTTCCACTTTGAAATATACATATAAGCTAATGAGAATAAAATGTTTATATGGTAATGGAAAGTTATTCATTTGTTAATTAAAAAAAAAACTGTTGCAGTAGTTTATTCACGCTGTAAATATATTATAAAAATGTTAGAATTTTTTTTTTTGGAGAAAAAAAATTTTTAAGCAGCTTTAAAATTGGAAAATTGTTACACCTGGGTGATTACAACCTGTTTTTCATGTGCGTATATATATATAGTGGTCTGATAAAGTGTTGTGTGTGCGCAGGCACTGCAAGCAAGTAGAATGCGAGCAAGATAAAATTCTCCTTACCATTGAATTCATGCTTGAATTGCTTCTGAAGCAATTCAATCCCTTCAAGTTCAATGATTTCAAATGCAGGCATAAACATCTCGAGGTTTTTTCTTTCTTTCTTTCTTTCTACAGATAATTTATAAATTAAAATGATATTCATGATCGTGTTTCTTCGGTTATGTTATGTTACAAAATATCCAATGCTCTCTTATAACATGAAAACTATTGTAATTCTAAAGTCATATCGATCTATTTCATTTTTAATTATTTGCCCCATGAATTTCAAATTTTCTATTTGTGTATTAAAGAATGACTTTTTTTTTAAGGTAATTTAAATTATCTTATTTGCTTGTATTTTTTTTAAAGGGATATTAGGTGAAAAAATCGATATTTTCGCGGAGTGATTATTATTTACAGTCACTATTTAGAAAATTAAAAAACTGATAATTAACTATTAAAAAATTTAAGAAAAAATTATCATTTTTATAATATCGATTATTATATATTATTTAATTATACTATTATATATTTATAAATTTTATTATTACATAATAAAAACTAATTTCCTAAAAAAAATTTAAGTATTATTAATTATTGCAATTTGACATTTCAAAAAATTTACAGGAAGTTTGTAAATAAATTAAAAAAAAATTATTTAAACTTATTTTACAAACTTTTTGTGTATTTTTAAATGTCAAATTTCAATAGTTAATACTCAAAATTTTTTAATGAGTAATTACATTTTGATAGCTAATAATAAATTTTAGAATATATAATAAATTTTATAATACACAATAATTTTGAAAATGCATAATAATTTTATAATAATATATATATAAGCTTTAGTATTACAAAAATCATGTCGAAAAAATAAATATTTCTCTTAAATTTTTTAGTAATTACTCATGAAAAATTATCGGTTTTTTTTTTTTTTGTTAGGTAGTTCAATAGTTTGTAATTGTAAAATAAAATGCAACGTTTTAATCCATTGAAGATTAAAATAATCCATTTAAAGATTAAAATTGAAAACTTTTAAAAAATTAACTTAGAAAAAAATTCTGAGAAATGAAAATTCGAAGAAATAAAAATTCTGTACACAGAAAATTAAAATGCATTAAAATAAGCAGCAACGCTTATTATTTTAATCCAATTTTGCTTATTTTAATACCAAAATGGATTAAAATAAGCAAAAATTGGATTAAAAAAATAGTTGCATTTTAATGCCTTTTAATTTTCTGTGTAAAGTTTATTTTCGGTTAATTTAAAAATTCCCTAATTTAGAAAATTGGTTTAATGAAAATTGAAATCAAAAAATGGTCATAAAAGTATTAGTGAAACCATTTCTTCCAAAAAAAGTTTGTCTCAAATCCAATAAATAGGAGAGACATCGGGCAGAAAAAAATTTCGTCAAGAAACAAAATTTTCGATCACTGCTTATATACCCTATCTAATGCCACCTCAACTGCGAGAAATAGTTATGATGTTCGCCCTCCCTGTGGCGTTGAGCGAACTAAAGTCCAGAGCTGAGCCATCAGCGCGCGGGAACATTTGAAAAATTTGATTATATTAGATATTTTATTTTATTTTAAATATGACAAATAATTAACATAATAAATAATTAATGTCATAAATGATTATTAATAACATAATGTCATACTTAATAATTCGTTAATTATGAAATAAAATATCTAATAAAATCAAATTTTTCAAATGTTCCCGCGCTGTGCTGATGGCTCTGCTCTGGACTTTAGTTTGCTCAACGTCACAGGGAGGGCGAACATCATAACTGTTTCTCGCAGTTGAGGTGCCATTACATTGGTATATAAGCAGTGAACGAAAATTTTTTTTCTTGTCCAAATTTCTTTCTGCACGATGTCTCTCCTATTTATTGGATTTGAGACAAACTTTTTTTTTTTGGAAGAAATGGTTTCACTAATACATTTATGACAAGTTTTTTATTTTAATTTAATTATTGAAAATAAAATAATAGTAATTACTATTAAAAAATAATAAAAATAAATTTTTTTTAAATTGTTGATTTTGTAAATTATTATTAAAATTTTTAATATTGGCTAATTATTGGTTGCCAATAATTATTGCGTGTAGTGGTCCATTGTTGGGTGCCAATGGTTTTTTTCATTGGCTCCCATCATTGGGCCAATTAATACGCCAATGGTTACTCGTGGCAGTTTCCCATTGGGTATCTAATGAAAATTCTAATAAATGATGTTTAGAACTTTCAATTTTTAAAATGAAAAAAATTTGTACAATTTTAAGATTATTGATTTGAATTTTTAGAGGCTCAAAAAAAAAAACTATTTGATTTCTTTTTGTTATAATATACAAAAGCCCCTGTCATTCTGCGGTGAAGATGCTCAGCAAATTGACTGGTTCGACAGTTTAGAAAGAGGTTTTCTTCCATAATCGGGCGTCGTGCATTGCATGTTCAATTAATCATAATAAATTTTATGACGCTGTCCTGGCGTTTAGTCGTTCTTTCTCTCTCTCTCTCTCTTTTCAATATCGTGAGAGGTATCGGAGCAACGATAAATGAGAACATATAGAATGACGAAGGAGCTGCGTGGCGAAGGTGGTTTTCTTATAGGCATTGAACTTGGTGTATATAGAAGCCTAGAAGAGGCTTATGTATAGTCAGCAGGGAGAGAGAGAGAGAGAAAAAAAAGGAACGAAGAAGAGAGAAAGCAAGATAGAGAAAGATGGTAGAAAGATAGGCAGAAGTTGCGTGTATAAGTGCAACGAACTGGCAAGGTCGAGTGTGGTAGGCCAATGTCTTTTCCATCGCGAATGTATAGTGCTGCTTGGCTGAATCTTGGTGTTGTTGCTATTGCTGCTTTTGATGCTGATGCAATGGTGCAACAAGAGAGGAGGTGGTGGCAGCAGCAGCAGCATTGCAAGGCCGCACTGCAACCACGAGACCAGCCAGAAGAAGAATAAGAACAAGAAGAAGGAGTTTCATGAAGGGTGGAGGAAAATAGTATATCTCTCAGCAAAAAAAAAAAAATTCCGAAAGAGAAAAAGATGCCAAATATCACCATTTCTCTCATTCTCCTGTCATTGTTAGGCACAAGCGAACACGTAAATCACAAGGTGACAGCCTTTCGCGATATTATGTAATAAATTTCGCACTGTACATTCGAGACCGTCTTGTCAAAAGGAAAGCGGGGGAGAGAAGCAATACACACATTCACACACATTTATATGTATATAGTTTGAAATGGATCGCACTGCCTGTTTACCATACGGGATTGTATTGCATTCGAGAAAAGGAAGAGTATATATTTCTAGAGTTGTTTTAGATTGTCAGTTTCCCCTCCTCTCTCTCTCTCTCCCCCCCTTTTGGCTTTCAACCTATCTCGAATGATTGATATGTTATTCGAGTTGCGTGTTTGATGGAGCCATTGCTGTTGCGAGATGAAAAAGACAAGTGCGATCATCTAAAGAGCAAGTGGTAAATAGTTTCATCCTCCTTTGGTTATGTGAAATCATCTTTTATTATATTTACATAATCATTTAGATTATCCTCTTATTGTCAGAATCATTTTCTCCTTTAAAAAAAAAAAAATTTTTTTTGTTCAAATAATCATGACTATTATCAAATATTTGTTCGGATCGGATAATTATTATCTGTATCGAATAATTATTTGTATTGAATCATTATTATTTGTATCAAATTATTCATTATGACACAATTTTCAATTAAAATCGTTTAGTTCATTCTACGTTGTTTTTTTTGTATCGCATCATTCGATCTCGCAAGAATAAATTGAGAATATTGCAATACTTGATATATAAAACGATTGATTGGCTACTGTCATAATCAGATTCACTGGAATTGATTCTTTTCGAATGCTAAGATCTGCCTTTGCATTATAGGAGTTTTAAAAAAAAAATAAAATAAAATAGACACCTTCATATTATACGGGGAGCAGGTACTATTTAAGAAGACCTTATCTAAAGGGGATCAGTTTATGATTGTCATATGCTAATTAATCAAGTTTTTAATCACATTCTAACGGTTCACATTTAAGAACGCTAAAAGATTAAAATAGATTAAATCAGTGCAAGCATGGGGTGTCACGTTCTTCATCCTTGGTTTGAGACGTAGGATAAAAAAAATTTCATTGATGAGATTCTTGTGTCTGATGGAATAAGGGACGTCAATTTTCAAAGGAATTTATTATTTTATATTAAGCTATTTTTTTTGGTATTTCATAAAAAAAAATATTTTTTAAAAGTTTTTCTTTTGTAATTTTTTTTTGTTTCTAGTTTTTTTTTAGTCTAGAATTGGAAAAGATTTTGAAATTTTTAATATAAAAACATAATAAAAAAAATAATAATTTCAGAGAAAATTTGAAAAGAATTCAAAGAAAATTGATTTTTTCAATTGAACGAAAAAATTATATTATTTTCCCAAATGTCAACTTCCCAGAACCCAAAATTTGGCAAATTTCAAATTTTGTCTTCAAAAATTGTAATTTTTCAATATAAAAAATATTTGCAATGAAAATTCGGTTTTACTCTCTAAATCTGAATTAGTAAAAATGTTCACTAATTTAAATTAATGACTCACTTCTTGCTTTAAAATTAGTAAAATTTTACTAATTATTAGTAACTTTTACAAACAATTAGTAAAAGTTAACTAATTCTAAAGCAAAAAGTGAGTCACTAAACATTTTTACTAATTCAGATTTAGAGAGTAAAGTGAAAATTCTATTCGTAATATTGAAAATATTGAAAGAATGTTTCTTTTAAGTAGTACAAGTTTTTTTAAGTCAGACAAAACATATCAACTTTATCAATATTTTATATAGTACCAAAAAATATTGTTAACATAGGAAGAGGCCACAAATTTTTTTTTTTTTTTTTTGTCTCGTTATTTAAAAAAAAAAAAATTCTTGTAACAGAATTAGATAAAATTTCAATTCGTGAATCAAAATTAGAAATTTTTTTTTATTTCCAAAAAGGAAGCATTATCTGCAAGAACAAAAATTCTAAGTAGAAAAAAAATTTCAGACAAATGGGAAAAAAAATCTGAACCATAAAATTCATATTTGCATACCATTGGCGAGTCAAGAGGAAATAGAATAAGTTATCAGTGAATCTTACTACTTGTTTGCCATATGGACAGAGAAATTTTTCCTTTTTTTTCACGTTCAGCAAAAAGTAGAAGAACGAGTGCGCTGACTGACGTTGAATTAGATCTTGATCAATGTTTTGTTTCTTTTCATATATGTATATATACATATATATATTCTTTGGAATGAAGATATCGGAGATAGTGCGTAAAGCATGCATAACTTACGCACTCGAATTAACTTCTTTAATAATATAATCTTTTCTCAATGCTTATTCTTCTACGTCAGTTTGTTATGCGTATATAAACAAGTGAAAAACTTCTTGAGTTGAGGAGACCCCCGTGTCGACTCACTCATCTTTTTCTATACATATACCCGGGGTGCTAATGTCTGCCCAGTGATCCACGGGATGCTGCGAGTAGGAAGGTAGCTTTTCAATAAATAGTCTTACTCCATTGTGGCAATGTCATCAACATCGTCACCTTACACGTCATTCTTGTATCAATCATAACCAAGCAATTTCCAATGAAATTTGGAATAAACAATTTTTTTTTTTAAATTATTAAAAATTTTGAGCCAAAGAAACTTTAATTAAAATTTTTTTTCACCTTTGAAATGTAAAATTTTTATTTCGAAAAATAATTTTTGTTTTAGTAAAATATTTTTTTCAAAGATATTTTAAGTACTATATACATATTATCTAAAGAGGAAGGGGACCAAAGTCTCGCCCATCTATCTTTTCTTTATGGCTATATATACGTTGTTGCGTTCTATACGTATATATATTGTACGTCTTAAAGTAAACGTATCTGCTTGTATATACCACATTGTACCGATCGGTTGGTAGAGGTAAAATTCTTCTTTCTTATTTCTCCCTCCCCTTCCCCTCCCCCTTGATGGTGTTCGCGTCGTTCGTCCCTGGCTAACTTGTGGTTACCTAACCCCGATATCGAGGAATGTTCGCACGGGTCGTCACGTAATGCACCGATAGCCCGCCGAGCATTTTGCCCATAGTCGAAGGGAGAAGCTAAATCGCTTAAGGGAAGCGACTGAACTTTGACCTGATCTTTCCTAGAGAAACAAAAGATATATATATATATATATTTAAAATATACTGGTATCTTCCTCGTGAACAATATTAGAATATAATTCTTTGGTGACATTGTCAATTTTTTTCGATAGATTGTCAGATTAGTTGCTGTCGACTTTGTGGAATTTACAGTGAAAACCAATTTATTCAATTCAAGAAATCGGTTGACTATTTATCAAAAAATTACTATTTAAGTCTACAAAATTATATTTGTTTTAAATAATTATTATTTAAGTCAATTAACTGGTAATTGTATTCAATAATTATTATTTTTGTCAATTAATTGGTATTTCAGTCAATTAATTAGTATTTGAATCAATCAATTGGTATTTATTTCAAATAATTATTATTTGAGTCAATTAATTGGTATCTAAGTCAAATAATTAGTATTTGAGTCAATAAATTGGTACTTTTTTCAAATAATTATTATTTGAGTCAATTAATCGGCATTTGACTCAATTAATTGGTATTTGTTTCAATTAATTAGTATTTGTTTCAATTAATTATTATTCGAGTCAATTAATTGGAATTTGAGTCAATTAATTGGTATTTGACTCAATTAATTAGTATTTGTTTCAATTAATTATTATTCGAGTCAATTAATTGGAATTAGAGTCAATTAATTAGTATTTGAGTCAATCAATTGGTATTTATTTCAAATAATTATTATTTGAAACAATTAATTGGTATCTAAGTCAAATTATTAGTATTTGAGTCAATAAATTGGTACTTTTTTCAAATAATTATTATTTGAGTCAAATAATCGGCATTTGACTCAATTAATTGGTATTTGTTTCAATTAATTAGTATCTGTTTCAATTAATTATTATTCGAGTCAATTAATTGGAATTTGAGTCAATTAATTGGTATTTGACTCAATTAATTAGTATTTGTTTCAATTAATTATTATTCGAGTCAATTAATTGGAATTATAGTCAATTAATTAGTATTTGAGTCAGTCAATTGGTATTTATTTCAAATAATTATTATTTGCGACAATTAATTGGTATCTAAGTCAAATAATTAGTATTTGAGTCAATCAATTGGTACTTTTTTCAAATAATTATTATTTGAGTCAATTAATCGGCATTTGACTCAATTAATTGATATTTGTTTCAATTAATTAGTATTTGTTTTAATTAATTATTATTCGAGTTAATTAATTGGAATTTGAGTCAATTAATTGGTATTTGAGTCAATTAATTGGTATTTGAGTCAATTAATTAGTATTTGAGTCA